CGCCGCTGCTGCTGCTGGAAACGCTGCTGCGCCTGCCGCTCGTGCCGCTGTGGGGAGACACGGCCTGAGCGCCCCGAACCCCTGACCACCCGGTACACAGAGAGCGGGGCATGTGGGGTGGATGTAGACCTCCACCCCGGGCCTTCTGAAAGGAACTGCTTCCTCCCTTTTCCTTTTCATTGTTTTTGATACAGGGTTTCACTGTGTAGCTGGAATTTAGAGTTCAGAATCTTCCAGCCTCAACTGGATCACAGGAATGAGCCACCACTCAGGGCTCGTCAATTAAAATTCAGTTTGGAACTGTTGAGGATCAGCAGTAGTGCACCAGCCTAGGATCCCCCAGTGAGGAAGTGGGGGCGTGGCTCAGGAGAGCCCCAGCCTAGAATCCCCCCCAGTGAGGAGGTGGGGGCGTGGCTCAGGTAGAGTGACAGCCTAGGATCCCCCAGTGAGAGGAGGTGGGGGCGTGGCTCAGATAGAGTGACAGCATAGCATCCCCCAGTGAGGAGGTGGGGGCGTGGCTCAGGAGAGCCCCAGCCTAGAATCCCCCCAGTGAGGAGGTGAGGGCGTGGCTCAGGTAGATCGCTCAGATTAGAATTCTGGCTCTGGATTGGAACTCTAGGAAAGTCTTCCCTAGAACGTGCAGCTCCTTGGCCCTTCATGCAGTTTGCAGAGGGGTTTGGAAGAGTCAGACTGGCAGTCTGAAGAATGAGTATTCTTGAGAGCTTGGAGCTTATGCCATCAAGAATCTAGACAACACCCACTGATGTGAGCACCCACGAGGGACTGGCTCCAGGACCCACAAGTATGGTACAACGGACCCTGGTCCCTTCTACAGTAGCACCCTGCTTGCTATCTGCTCACCCCTTCCTGTAGACTTGAAATGTCCCTAGAACGAGCTGGAGAGACCGTTCAGTGGTAAAGAGCACAGACTGCTCTTGCAAAGGACCCCAGTTTAGTCTCCAGCACCCTGAATGTAGCTCACAACCATCTGTAATTTTAGTTCTAGGGGGAATCTGACGCCCCCTACTGGTTCCCAAGGGCGCTACATGCACACGGTGCACATACACATGCAGGCAAATCATCCGCATCAGATAAAGTAAAATAAATCTAAAAAAGAAAATCTCTAGGTGATTCAGTGGGAATGCTGTATGAACAGTTGTTTTGAGGGGCACTGTAATCCCAGATAACTGAGGGGCTGGGATGGAGCCCCAAGCCTGGCCTGCACAACAAGACCCACTAATGGCGTGCATAATTAAAACATGTTCTCAGAAGGTTAACACAGGCATTGCAAATTTGAGGCCAGGATGGGCTAAGTCTCAAAACAAGAAGGAAAATGCAGCAGTCTATGCATTGGTACACATGCAAATCCTGCTGTGTTTTCTCAGAGAGCACAGGATAGCCCAGCTGGCCTTGAGCTCCTGTCCACCTGCCCACCCCTAGGTGCAGGCCTGACAGCTGTGCACCTCCACACTACTCATACTGGGGACTTTCCATTTAAGTTTATGGAATCTTTGGGTGCAGAACCTCAAGGTGGGGGACTCGGATACTCCCTCTGAAGCCTACGGTTTTTTACTAAGGACTCAACCTAAAATTTCTCCCCTCCAGAAACCGCACCAGCCAGACCCCAGTCCTGTACCTTGAAGGCTTCTCGTCGCTGGTACTCCAGTTTGGCCATCTCTTCAGCCACCCATCCAGGGATGTCAGGGATGGTTGCGTGGATGAGGTACTTGACCAGCAGAGCCAAGTGCTGTGGGGGACAGACATGGGGGTTGTGGACTCAGGGATGCCTGACTCCTCCGCCCAGCTCCCACCCCAGGGACCACCAGCCACACCTCTAGCACCACCACAGACACGATGGCCGCCTCTGGGCTCAGCCAGGGAAACAGGCGCTGCAGCTGGCCACACTGGCCAATGAGGTAGCAGTTCACCACGATTGCCAGCACGCCCATCGCCTCCATGACCTTCTGCAGAGGAGGCAGGAGGCTCAGGGAGAGGTCCAGACAGGGACTGCCATCCCCTCTGGGCCTCCCTGACTGGCCCACCTGCCACTGGCCGATGCTCTCCACTCGCTGCCCAAAGGGCCGCTGTAGGGCGGTGCATAGCTTGAAGGCGTCGCTTCGGATCTCAATCAGGTTGTTGACTAGGGCGCACAGGGCAGCCAGGGGGAAGGCGGAAGAGAAGAACACTACATAGCCGAACTGCACAAACATCTCCTGGTAGTCCTGAAACGTGTCCTGAAGACAGGGGCTCTCGTTAGGCTTGCCACTGCTCCCTCAATTCATCCTACTAGGCCCAGGCTTGCCTCCTATTTCCAGGCTCTGCCAGCAGAAGTCCAAGGGCCACTCGCCGGCTCTCACGCTTCCCACACAAAGAGTCCCATGATCACCCTGACACATCTGCCTGCGAGCCTGCCTCCACCTTCACAGGCACTAGTGTGAAACACTGGTTTACGATGTGTTATATTTGTTTGTGCTGGGGAACACTTGCTAATGAAGCACAAATGTGCTTTTCAAGTCAGGGTTGCTCTGTGTCACAGTCCTAGCTGTCTTCGAACTAGCTCTTGTAGACCAGGCAGGCCTTAAACTCACAGAGATCTGCCTGCATCTGTCTCCTGAGTGCTGGGATTAAAGGCCTGCACCACCACCACCCAGCTGTGTTGCATTCTTTTATGTTGCATTTGTTTAGCTCTGTGAAGCTGTGATTCTTTGCCTGTCTAAAACACCTGATTGGTCTAATAAAGAGCTGAGCAGCCAGTAGAGAGGCAGGAGAAAGATAGGTGGAGCTGGCAGACAATGAGAATAAATAGAAGCAAAAATCTGGGAGAAGGAAGATCAAGGAACAAGAAAAGGAAGGAGAAAACAAAAAAGAAGGGGCCAGACATGGAATTAAAAGGAAAGAAAATAGTAAAATATTTACAGAAATAGAGAAAGATAAAAGTCCAGAGGTAAAAGGTTGGTGGGAACATTTAAATTAAGAAAAAACTGTCTAGAAAGAAGCCAAGGTAAGGCCACACATTTATAAGTAAGAATTAAGTCTCTGCGTGTGACTTATTTGGAAGCTGAGTGGCCAGCCCCCAAAGAGTAAAAACAACCAGCAACAATACTTTCCTGACCACATGCTTTTTCTGTCAGCATCTCGGGGGCAGGGGCAGTGTGCTTCTTTGCATGGTTTCCTTAGGTGCATGTGTGTAGGCAGGGCATGTGTGAGAGCTTGTGTGAAGGCCAGGGGTTAGCTGCAGACAGCCTTGTCATTCTGAGTGCGGTTCAGAACACACAGATATGAGAACACAATTTTGTCAATCCGTTCTCTCCTTCCCCCACTGAGTCCCATGGGTGGAACTGAGGTCGCCACAGCTTTGTGGCAAGTGCCTTTACCAACTTAGTCCTTATTTTCTTTTGATTTATTTAAAATGTACTTTATTTATGCTTGTGCAGATTCCTGTGTATCTGTGTGTGTGCAGGTGCCCAGAGGCTAAAAGCCATGTTGGATCGCTTGGAGCTGGAGCAAGCAGCTTTTCCCAGCGGCTGAGAGAAGCGAAGAACTCCAACAAGCAGCCCTCTTCCCTGCTGAGCCAGGACTCTGGCTGTCCTGAAACTCGCTCTTGTAGCCAGGCTGATCTCGAACTCACAGAGATTCACCTGCTTCTACCTCCTAAGTGAAAAGCTTGTGCCAACACTGCCAATCTCCTGCTTATTTTTTTAAGGGAGGGTCTCCTGTAGCCCAGGCTTGCCCAGTACTTAGTACACATCAGAAAAGGAACTTGACCTTCTCGACCCCCTACCTTCAACTCCCAGTGCTGGGATGACCAGCAAGTGCCACCATAACCGGTTTATGTGGTGCTGGGGATGAAGCCCAGGGCTTCATGCATGCTAGTCAAGCACTCTACCAACTAAACTATCAACACAGCCCTGTTTGCTTCTCTTTCGAGTTTCTTGTTGAGCAGGCTGTCCTCTAACTCCGAGCCTTCATACCTTCACCTCCCAGGAGCCAGGGTGGCCGAGGCTCTTCCCTCTCACCTCATACTTCTTCATGCAGCTCTCCAGCTCCGCCTGTGTGAGCTGTGGCGAATGCTCCTCCTCTGGTGGGTCGATCCATGAGGACCTGTTGTTCCTCCTCTGTCTCCCACCCGTGTCGCCAGAGCTGGTCTCTGGGTCTCGGCCTCCATCGGGACCTTGGTCGCGGCCCTCGCCGCTCGCGCGACGAAGTAAGATGGTCGGGGGCTCTGGCCCAGGGCTGCTGGGAGGCCCCTCTGGCTCATCGTCTTCCTCAGCCAGAGTAAACACGCCAGGCTCCAGCCCTTTCTCCACCATGGTGGGGCTCCCCTCTGCCAGGAGGCCATCGGGACCCGGGCCTGGCCTGCGTCGCCCTGCGCCCCGCTCCGCAAAGCTGACCTTCTTAAGGCGCAGCCCGCAGTCCAGGAGGCCGCCTTCCTCGCCCTCGTCCTCCTCGTCCTCCTCGTCCTCCTCGTCTTCCTCGTCCTCCTCCTCCTCCTTGCCACCCCGAGGCCCATCTGGGACCTCTCCACCTTCCCCTGCCGGCCTCCGCTCCACTGCCGTCTCTTCCTCTTCCTCCGGCGCCCCGCAGCCTCCACCCAAACACCTGTGGCTCCCTGCTCCTCCCTCATCAGCCTGGGCCTCCAGATGCCCTCGGGGGTCCGGGCGCAAGGGGTTCAGCAGGCCCAGCAGGGCCCGGGCCAGTTCCCTGATGGAGCGCAGACCCAGCTCCCCGCGGCCCAGCCTGCGATACAGGTGCGGCTGCAGCACCTCGCGCACATTCTGCAGCAGCTGCCGGGTGATGAGCAGAGTGGCCAGCATCTGCGGACGGAAAGAGGCCACGTGGGGCGGGCAGAGCCGAGCACCGTAGGGTCACACCCAAGAAGACGCATATGCCCTTCCAGGTGGCCCCCGGACAACCCTGGACTTGAGACCGCAGCTCAGCCCCAGAGCAACTGAGGTTGCGCAGTGCACGACACAGCCAACCAGCGGACTGGTCAGGAATCTCAGCTCATCTATCTCCACCCTGCCCAGGCATTGCCTTGGGCCCTGGACACCTTGGTGGACCTTCCTCAGCCTACACGGGAGACCCTTTTGCGCATGCACCCTATGCTCGCCGTGCCCCACCCGCAGCACAGCCACGCTGCCCACACCGTGGGGAGGCTTGCCACCTGCCCGTACTTTGGCCCAGGCCACGAGCAGGAAACCCCGGAGGGACAGGAGGAGCAGGCGGAACCGCAGGGCCACGAGCGGGACCAGCACCGCCCGCAGCTGCCGCTCGAGGCTCTGGGTCAGGGACAGGAGTAGCAGGAGCTGTGGAGGGACCAACGGGACAGGTGGACGGACAGATGGGAGAGGGAAACGACGGGCAGAGAGAGGACGCACGGACAGACGGACAAAAAGGAGAGAAGAATGGAGGAGGGGAGGGAGGGGCTGGAGAGCCCTGGACCCCTTGTACGGGTCCGTCCCCAGGGGGTCAGAGTGCTGGGTCTGGGGTGGTGAGCAGGCCCTCACCTCTTTCAGGCGGTCCATGTCTTTGAGGTAGAAGCCGATGTAGAACAGACTCAAGTACGAGTTGACAAACTGGAACTGGGAGGCAGGCGGCCTGGGTCATCCCACAGCCCCGCCTTGCGGGTCCTCCAAACCCCTCTCCCATCCTCCTAGCCTCTTTGGACATGCGTGTTCACTCACCAAGACAACTTTGATGATAAGGTGCCTCTCGTAGGCGCTCTCTAGCCGGTAGTTCTCTAGGGGTCGAGGAGGTGAATGAGGGGACACCCTGCCCCTCCCGAGAGCTCTGGGGATCCCCAGGACAGTGGAGACCTCCCCTGCCTGCACATACCCATGTCATTGAGCCACACAGCTAACTTCTTGTAGCCCTCAGCGCTCACACTGACCAGCAGGGCCAGCATGACCTTGGGCAGGAAGCGAACCAGGCGGGGTAAACCCTTCACGCTCAGGACCAGCTCCTAAAAGGGACAGGACAAGGCAGGGGGCTCAGCCGAGTGAAGCAGGGCCCGGAGCTCAGTGGGCGGGCAGAGGGCAGGGGAAGGGCGGGGGCTGTGGGCTCACCTGCAACTGGAAGCAGCCAAGCATCAGCACAAAGACACAGACAAGGCAGGCCAGGCACAGAGGCAGGCTGACGAGCAGCTGGAAGAGCAGTCGCTTCCAGGGCGGGTAGTAGAACTCCTCAGCCTGAGTGATGGGGCTGATGCGTCGGACACCCTGGCAACCAGCAGAAGGGGCAGTGTGTGAGACCAGGGAAACCCACCTCCTGATCCTAGGAGCCGGGTTTCCCTCGGCCAAGCCATTTCTCTCACAAGAGACTACTCCTCTCTGTAGCCTTCTCAAAGCTCAAATCCAACCCCTTCAGGCGCACACTCTACTCTGAGGGTGCCCATCACACACACTAGTGCCCGTCTTCCATGCAACATTTCTCGTCTTTACAGCCTTGTCTGAATGTTGAGCCTCAGCCTCAGACTGACCCTGAACTGGGGTCGTGGCTCCTCCACAGCTTCCCCGGGTGAGTCTAATGTCCCCCACTTGTAGGCTAACTCTGCGCCCCTTCGTTTCCACTCCTCCAAGAACAGTGTTGACCAGATCACGTTGAAGAGAGCAAAGACAACACAGGAAACATCCCGGCTTGTCTGCAGGTGACAGAGGAAAGTCAGGTCAATGACATAGCCAGCCTATGGAGGAAGGCCTTCTAGACCACCCCCAGTCCTGGCCCAACACCTCCCAGTACCTGATCGGCTTCAGTAAATGTATACAAAACAGAGCCAAAGACAGCAGGGTAAACCATTGCTGATGTGTAGAAGCCCAGCCAGGCAAAATACATGGCGATCTTCACCCCAAAGTAGTCACAAATGTCATCTGCCAGGGGACAAGAGAGGTTGGGTCACCTCCAAGAGTCTTTGGAGGCCCCAGCCCACTCCTCAGTCATGAATCCACACCTAAGGGCTGGTTTTCACACACGGCCTGCACCCAGGACTTCATGAGACGATTCAGAATGCGCTGCTCATGGACCGGAAACACCTGCTGTATGATGCCTCGGGCAGCCAGCTCTGGGACTGCAGGAGGAGGAGAGAGAATGATCCCTGCCCCTGCACTGTATGGACAGCCCGGGCAGCCCACCTTGGCTAAAACCAAGTCATGGCCTGTTCTGAAGTCCATAGAAGGCTGGGAATGTGGCTTGATTAGTAGAGTGCTTGCTTAGCATACACAAGGGCCTGGGTTCCATCCCCAGCACGGCATAAACTGGGTGTGGTGGTCAATACACTGGGAAAGTGGGGCCAGGAGGGGCCGGGATGACCGGGAACCAGGAGGATTTCAAGTCCCACTACGAAGTCCAGGTTGATCTTGAACTAACAAGCTCTCTGCCTCAGCTTCCCAGAGCCTGGGAGAACACGGGCATGTATGTCCTCACCGTGCCCATCAAGTGTATTTTAGAATTTAACCCCCATTTCTGGCCCTGAATGTCTAAGAAATGACAGACTAGTGTAGAAACGTGAACTTCTGAGAACTGGTTTCCCAGTAGGCCTCACCATCTAGCACATGGGTGCTGTCCGTGGTCCTGCTCGCACCTTCTCATGGACCGACGGAAAAGTCTCACCTGGACCGCCTTTCCCATCCTTGCACCAGATGCCCGGCGGAGGTCACGCCCATTGGATTCTTTGGATGCCCAACTTCTTCCTAGCCTCTGATTAGTTGCCCGTAAGCTCCGCCCTCCTACACCTATCTTCTAACAGACACGCCCAGCTCTCCGTAGGTAATTGGAAGGCCGGCTCGCCCTGCTCACTGATTGGCTGGTCCTCCAAGAAGCGCACGTTGTGCAGCGCCTCCCCCTGCTTGGCCCGTAGGTTCTGCAACCAGAAGCGGATGATGCTCTGCCGCTCCTGTGGGGAGACGGGTGTGAGCTCGGCACGGAGGGCCGTGGGTGCAGAGACGCGGGCACAGGGCGGTCACCTGCGATGTAAAGAAGCGCAGCTCGCTTTCCACATTCTCGTAGATGAAGTCCTCTTCGCAGGAGAAGCTGCGGGTGCCCCCGCCAAATTCGGCCTTCACTGCCTTGCGCAGACCCAGCTCATCGGCCCCCCGGAGCAAGCTGTGGGCAGGACAGGGCATAGAGGGTTCACATCACCAAGCTAAGGACGATTCGCGAGCCATATCTTAGGACAAACGAATAGTGGGCACAGTTGGCTCTCAGAAGGGCAGGGAAGCCAGGTGGCAAGGCCAGAGGGAGATGGAAGCAGGGGACTCGCCTCTCATATGTGGCTGTGACAAAGAAGGCATAGGCACGCGTGTGGCGATGGTGGCGAACTTGCACGATCAGCTCAGGGATGCCCACTCGGATGTGATTCAGCAGCCACAGCAGCGTGTGGTCATCGGTGGTGTCTGCCAAGGAGCACAGAGACCCACAAGTGCCCACTTCACATTTCGACCGAAGTAGTAGAAGCTGCATCAGTGCCCAGGGAAGGCAGGTGTGCATACCTGGGAAGGTCATGAGCACGTCACAGTCCTCGGTGGGTACCGTCTTCATCCATGCCTTGTGGGATACCAGGTAGCGGCCAGCCTGCAGGAGCCTCTTCCCAAACAGTTTATCTATGGGGCAGCGTGGCAGGTCCGGCTGAGATCGGGCCTCTCCGTGGCCTGACCGGCCCTCATCATAGCTCTCGAGGACAGAACATCCTCAGCCTGGGCTGCTCTCCTCTCTCCACATTCCCTGCACCAGCCAGGCCCTTCCCCCTAGGTCCTACCTTAAAAATCTTACTCATGGTTGAGGCCCAGCTCCGCCTCCCAAACCGCAATCAATGGAATGCCCACAAGCAGCCTTGTGCGCTTCTTGGTAAGACAGCGCGGTCCTTAAAACAGCTGCTCGAGCAGAGTGAAGTCCTTACCCCCATTTCGCAGGTCACCAAACTGAGGCCCAGAGTGTACCCAGACGCTCAAGGTCACCTAACCGAGGTGGGATTCGAACCCAAAACTGTCCATATTACCCTGTTTCCTGTGCTGGGAGTCTCCGGATGGAAAGGCTCACACCAGCCAGGCTAGGGCTGTCAGAGGGGCGTGTCCACGTCCCCGCACCGGGGACCCCTCAATACAAACGCTCTGCCCCAACCCCGCGCGCTGCGCCGCAGCCGCAGCGCCACGAGGAGCGGCCCCTGGGCCACACGCCGGGCTCTGGATGTGTGACCCCTATCGGCGTCCCCTGCAGCCCCGGGGCGCATCCGTGCACCTGTCCTGGTGCTACCCACAGCTCACGTACCCAGGACTCCAGACGCAGGCGCTGCAGGCTCGCCCTCCGGCGGGGGCCTCTTCCCTCGCTCCCCCTCCAGGGTCGCGCCCCCGGCGCCCGAGGCTGCCTCGGCCATGGCGAGGACAGGGCAGGTCAGGGGCTGCAGGACGCCCGGGCGCCGGGGGGCCGCGGGCTCATGGGGATCGGAGTGGCACCACCGAGCGCGCGGGAGGAGGAGACAAAGGCCTCTCTCGCCCGCCCGCATCGACCGCCGTCCCGGCGCTTCACTTGATTGTCGTCCCCGCCCGAGCCAAACCTCGATTCTTCTTCCCAGCCCGCGCGTCACTCTGAGTCCCTCAGTCCCGCCCGCCTGGCCTCTGCTTCCCGTCTCCGCCCGTGTTGTTTTCTGAGCTTCCTTCCCACCCGTCCACTTGTATCTCTGGTGCTTGTTCCCGCCCGCACTCACCCTCACAGCCTCCGTTTACCCACCTACAGAGTTCACGTGGTGTGGAAGCTGAGCTGGTCGTGATTTCCTCACTGCAGGATGTGGGAGCGGGAGGATCTTGTTGAATGGCATTTCTGAGAACAATGCCTTAACTACCACAACAGGAATGTGAGTGATGGCAGCCGGTTCAGCCTGCCCCAGGGCCTTTGCAGTAGAGTTCACTTGCCTAAAACGCACTTGTCGCCCTCTGCACCCACGCCAGCCTCCACAAAGGGATCAGGATACAGGGGCCGAGTTTACAAAATAAACATGGTTCCCAGCCGGCAGAAGGTGCTGAGGACCTGAGTTCGTGTCCCTGATCCCGATGGTGGAGAGCCTATGCTCATAAGAGCCTATGCTCATAAGAGCACCACCTCACACAGAGATAATGCAATAAATAGTCCGGCCAAGGGCTGAGGTGTCAACCAGCAGCAGAGACTGGCCTAGCTCGCACAAAACTTTGCCTTCTAGTCTCCAGAGTGGCGGGATGGAGGCTGCAGGGTGACATGGTCGGTATAGCCCTGGCCTGGCTGGCACAGATCTCCCAATCCTGCACGTAGGAAGCAGAAAGATCCGTATTTCAAAGCGATCCTCAGCTACATAGCAAGTCCATGGCCACTCTGGGCTATACTAGACCCTGTGTCCAATAAGGGTGGACCAAGCTGGAGAGATGGCCATGCACTTGAGCTCTTCCAGAGGACCAGAGTTTGGGTCCCACACCCTGTAACTCCAGTACCAGGAGCTATGACAACCTCTTCCAGCCTCTGAATAAACCTGACAGAGAGCACACATTCGTAAATAAAAATAAAAAATAGATCTTAAAAAATAAGCCCACTGGCTGGATGGTAACATACTTTTAATCCCAACATTCAGGAGGCAGAGGCAGGGAGATCTCTGAGTTCAAGGCCAGCCTGCTCTACCGAGGAAGTTCCAGGATGTTACACAGAGAAACCCTGTGTTAGAAAGAAAAAAAGGAAGGAAGGAAGGAAGGAAGGAAGGAAGGAAGGAAGAGAGAAAGAAAGGCTGCTTATCTGAAACTTGCATGGGTGGGGGATGCTGGGTGGGGGGAGCCCAACAAAGTCCAGCTGGCTGGGGAAATGCTCGCTCTTCCAGAGGTCGAGCGTCTGGCTTTAGGTGTGCTCCCTTTTTTCTGAGGCACTGACTTTAGTTTGCTTCTGAGGTTCTGAGTGCTCTGGCGAGTGTGTGGAGATCAGGGGACAACTTGAGAACTGATTCTCTCCCTCCACCATGTGAGCTGGGGGGATTGAACTCATGTCATCAGGTTTAGCGGCAAGCGCCGTAACCCACTGAGCCACTTCTCAGGCTCTGGCCTCCCAACTTCTCCCAGTCTTGAGTGGCCCACTCTGAAGGACTGTGAGCCCAGTTTGCTTCTCGGTACCCAGGATGTAATGGGCATTTTTGTAAACGTGTTAAGACGGGACCACGGGAGATGGACAACGTCACCGTTCCTGTTTCACAGACTGCAAAGTAGGGCAGTTGAGGACCTGAGGGCTTTGCGACATTAGCCTGCCCCGCAGCGTGTTCTTAAAGAGCGCCCGCCCGCACGGGTCCAGAACCGGAGAATTAGCCCTGCGAGGGCGCTTCCGAGGCCCCGCCCGCCCGGTGCCTGGAATTCGAGCCTCCGCCTTCACCCCCGCAATTCAACGCTGCCCCGGGTTAACACGGAGCCTTTCTGGGAGCCACCGACACACGTCGGACCTGCGACCGACCGAGTCCAAGGAGAGGGAGGGGAAGCCAAGGCTGGGGTAGAGCCGTCCGAAGGAGGAACCAGGCCTGGAAATGGCTCCTGGCTAAAATGCTTGCCTAGGAGCTGCCGCTGGCAAAGGGGCAGCGGAGAGATCCAAGAAGGGTCAGAAAGAAACTTCCCAAAAAGTTTGGACCAGAGTTTTCCCTAATTTAGGGCGTCACTTTCCTAGGAACTCATCCCATGCACTTATTCAGATGCTTTGTGGAGCTTCTCTCTCTCTCTCTCTCTCTCTCTCTCTCTCTCTCTCTCTCTCTCTCTCTCTCTCTCTCTCTCT